TCCCGCCCCCCCCCCCCCCCCCAAAAAAAAAGTGAGTGAAAAATAACCCTTCACGCAGCCGGTAGGGAAAATCCCCAGCTGAGTCATTTGCAACCGTGGCGGAAGGGTCCACAGTTACAGCATTTGACCCAAGGAGGGACTAATGGTGCATTTGGCAAGCAGTAAAAAAATAAAATAAAATGAAGATGAAATTTAGATACATTTATACTGCTTGCACAGCATTTAAAGCGGTTTATAATAGGACAAAAGACTCCCAGGTTGTCGGAGAAATAGTTCTGAAAGTTTCCAAATTGGTTTAACAAGAGTTGCGCAATCTACAATATAGTTTTGAGGGGGTGGGGGGGTGGACGAAATGCAAATGCAAACAAATATAAATGTCTTAGAATGCGTTAAATGACAACCAACACCATCTGAATGCGTTCGGGTCTCGCCTCCTCCGTAGCGGTAAATCCAATAGTTCCCAACCATCGGCGAATATCGCACCTCCACGCGTCCTCCACATTTGTTTCTTGGCAGCGGACGCGCTAATCTGTAATCACATTGTCCACAAAATGGCACCGGTAGACAGAAAGCGCTCTCATCGTACAACTGATGTGGCTATTTATCTCCGTTGTCTCATCCAAACAAGAAGTCTACACCATTAGGGGAGAATCTTTAAGCAGCGGCCTGGGGAGCGTACCGGCTATTTGTTTGTGCCTCATTGCAGCTTTCATTCTGTGAGCCATTGTGTTTGTGTATTATGTTTGTATCGATCACGGTGAGCCAAAACGCGGAAACATTCTCGGTTGCAAATTGCAATCCAAAAGTAGCACCTACCACCTACCGTTTTTTAATAGTGGTGCAAAAAAATGCATTAAAGACGGCCTACCAAGATGCGCATTTGAGTCAATCTAATTGAAGTTTATTCCAAATTGGAATTACATACAAAAAAGGTTTCAAAAGAAACCTTTCAGAATAAGGCAAATGTATTGTGTCCAAAGGAGTCAGTAAAGGTTCAAACACAATTTAAGGACATTTAAATATGAAATATAAAATTTTGGGGGTCTTCTCTGGGAGAGGTTCGAACGGATAAATGGCCTTTCCATTCATTTCAATGTGAAAGGTTCGTTTGAGATTTCAGTATGGGACTCTGACTGTACTGCTCTAGTTATTTCTTTTATTTTATTTGCTCCAGTTAATTTCATGACTTCAATAATTTTGTTGTATTCATTTTATTGACTGAATTATTTTTTATTCAATAATTAAAAGGGAAAAACTGCAGGCTGATTTCTCTCCTGCTGCTCAGCTGCATGCAATTAGTACACTTGTCTCCCTGCAGCCTCGCCTCCATTTTGTCCCCCAGGAATTCGTTTTGGAACTGTGACTCACATAAAGAGCGCGTGAGGTATGAACAATATGGCTAGTATTATTATGGAGAATGCAATAATACATAACTGTATTATGTGGCGCAATAAACTAACATTAGTACGACTTCTAATCGTGCTTATTAGGGCTTCATGTAGAATTGAGCATTCAGGACAACTCGACCTTGTTTAGCTTGTACGCTCCCGATTTATTGATTGATTTGTTTTCTTTTACAAATGAATGGTGACGTTAATAATATTGTCATTGGCTTGGACATCATTTCAACAGCTGGATGATTAATCTCAGTCAAAAATTTTTTTTTTCCGGTTTTGGCTTCTCTCGATCTTTAAAACCAGTGGCCACCCAACCCACTAAATAACTTATATTGTTTCAGTTTTATTCATTTCGGAATCTGAAAGATGTTTTATTTTGAAAAATTACCGGATACTCCGTTACCATAGCGACCAGTGTGTTGCGGCCCGATCGGACGTTCCTCGTGAGTCATGATTCGTGTTTATTATTGTGTTTCGAAAATACCACAGGTTTCAGGCAGGTCATATAATATTATTATGTTGTATTTATTAAGCCTTAAAGGCTGGCCCTTGAAAATAATGTCTGACATTAAACCGGTCCGTGGGCCAAAAAAGGTTGGGGACCGCTATTTAAAACGATGACTGTGCAGAACGGCGCGGTGCATTGTCAAATTTCCGACATTGTAAAACTACCCTGAACGCATTACGTTGCCTACGTTCGTACGTATACAGGAAGTGATTCTGCCGTCCCGGATCGTCGTTTCGGCTGTTTCATAACACATCAGGTGGAGTTTATTGTAAAAACAGCGTCGCCAAGGTTTTTAGAAATAAATTTATTGCCATTGAAAGACACTTTGTATTTTCCCATCATCATCATCAAACATCGTATGCCGTTTGAACATTATCAAATGTAGAAAAATCGAAACCTCAAGGTAGATGTTTAAGTCGTTTTAAAACGATGCACAGTTTGAACATTTAATTATGTGGTTCTGCTGAATACCACTAGAGGGAGCCACACTTATGACAATCATATATATTCTGTCATTGTACAGGTATTATGTTTTAAATGCAGACGTACTTTTTTTTTTTTAAAAAAAAGCAGATTTATTTTATACTGCTCTCATCGGAGTGCGCAGGTGTGGTGAAAACACACTTGTAAAACATTTTGTAGAGTTAGTTAAGGGACCTTGAGGGACGTTTGGGCCCTATTTCTCCTCTCTGTCGTCCCCGTATTGATGCTGCTCCAGCGGGGGTAACATCAGCACTGGCATTGATGTATCGTTTGGTCCTCTTCCATTAAAGCAGCCCTGACAGGTAAATTCCCAGGAGGAGATGTTCAATTAAGAAGCCAAGGGAGAGGGACTGTCGCTTGACGTTCACAACAGTGTCAACCATTTGTGGTGGCCCGCAGTCGTACTCGCAAGGACTATTGGTGGTTATTGATGGATATTAAGATGGCATTCAAAGTCAAAAATCCCCCCCCCCCCAGCATTAAATTGTCAACGAGCAAAGCAGGTCTCTATCTAGCTAGCTAGCCATCGATCTCTTTCTTGCAAGATAAAAATAATCAAATCGTGTTTCTGTTTTCGCTCTCCTTTTTCTAGGAGTTCATTTCTGTATTCTTCTACCCCCACCCTCCCCCGTGTCGCACCTGCATCAATGGACCCACCTGTGCGTTATGATGAGCGTGTTCCTTCCACTGTTCCACCTGTGCCAAAACGTGGAAGTGTGCTGTGGTTTCATCGGTTACCGGTGAGTTCAGTTCAAATTTTTTTGTTGTTGTTGGGTTTTTTTTGGAGGGTGTTGTGGCATTGTTTGAATGAATTTATGCCTTTGGCCACTGTTCAAATATAAGACCTTAAACTGCCGCCATTGGCTCCGAATTTCGCTTTTGTGATGAAACGGATTAAAAAAAAAAAAAAATGCCATGGAGGATTTTTCGGTTCTAGGAGTTTCTGATGTTTAAATCATTGTTCAAATGCCGGAAATAAAAATAAATCTGTTCCCGATCACCTTCCTATAAATCATAACTTGCTATTTTTTTTTTTTACTTTTCGTTCAACATCAAAGCAAGTACTATTAATACAGAACAATAAAAAAAAGACAGAAAAAAGACAGAAAAATAAATCTTTTTTTTTTTTTACCTCAGTATTGTGATTGCCATCTTGTATGCAACCATTTTTTTTCCAATTTCCCGTTCCCAAGCAAGAAATTAATCTGTATTACTAGATCAGGGTTATAAACTTATCAAACACGTTGACGTGCGGTCTTCGAAACGACGACTACTGAGTGGCAAGTGTGGCATCAACCCAAGTCAATCGACCGGACTGGACATCATCAAACTCATTTGGGGGGGAGGTGCTTTAAAGTTCGTCTGCTAATGATCGATAAAAAGGAATGCCGTTTACATGCCCATGCAAATTTCCCTCGACCGAGCCAGCGCTTCCCCTTTTAGAAATCAGTCTAGCCATTTGTTCTCAGATGTCTTCATCGTGACGCGTCTTTGCATACTGAATGAACTTTCACTGTTCGCTGTCCAAAGCCGTTATTGATCTCTAAAAATGGCCCGCATTCAGCCGAGATTTCCACTGCGTCTGAGCAGAGCTGAAAGCAGATCCTTCCATACATCAAGCAGACAGACGGAGCACTTTATTTTCCTTTTTTTCCATCCTTCTGCTTTGCCCGAGCCGGATTCTCCCAGTCACTTTTTTTTTTTTTTTTTGGGGGGGGCTGTTGGCAATTTATCCACAGTCCTTTGGAGACAGCTGGTTAAGAGAGGGGCAAAAGGGGAAGTGTTGTGAATCTTAATCTAATTAAATGCAGGAAAGTAGCAAAGGCGGAGGGGGTTGGGGTTGGGGGGGGGGGCGCTCCATCAGTTGATCTTGCGAGCCAATACTTGTGAATAATGAGCTCCAAGGTCAGCAGTCACGTGGCCACGCCCAGATTGACTTTCAGCGGCACACCAGAGGGGTTTCGAATGTGCTCGCCAAGTCAGATATGGAGGAAGAAAATCCTCCAAGGCGTGTGAAGTGAAATCCCCTCTCGACTTCCACAGGTGCACATTTCTTCAGCCGTATTGCCAACGCCGTTGTGAGCCCGAGCTCTGGTGGTCGTGAACTTCAACAAAACAAAAACAAAAAACTTCAAGCTGTTTATCATTGCCATGGCCAGTTGAAATGTATTTGTCAAACAAAAACAAAACCAAATTGGGTGTTTAACCACCTTAACGTTGCCTGACGGAAGTCTACGACCCGAATATGCTGATGCCCGATAAATAGACGAGCTAACAAAATTAGCGTCGATATTGCAGTAATTGTACATCTTTCAACAACTTACGTAAAAAAAGCAGTCGTGATACATGCAGACAGAGCATACAACAATACTCAAAAGGCATATATTCTTTATCCTCTGCGAAAAATCACATTTTTGCGGCTTTTTGGCGACGGCCTTCTTTCTGTTTTGTCATTCAAAGCTGCGTGTCTGTTCTATCATGCTGCAAAATGCTTCTGTTATGACTTTGTAAATATTACTCTGCTTTTAAAAAGTACAATACCATAGAATGCTTCATAATATTTTTTTTGGGAGGTGGGGTGTGGGGGGGCGGGGGCAGTCATTCTCACATTTAATTGACATTTCTCCTCTAAAGTTACGTCAATACGTCATTGGCATTTGAAATAAACGTTTTGATGTTCACTCCTCGATACTCCCACCGGATGTTTTTAAAAGACTCACTTCACGAGCGAGCGCGTTTTATTCACTCTTCGCGCACTCAGGCCCTAATAAAAAGCGTTTTGCCGGCGTTGAATTAAAGCAAAGGCCGGATGGCCGGTGTGAAATGACTTTGACCCGTAATGATATCGTGTGGATATTCACTTGACAGCGTGTGTATTTCTTCAGCGCCGTCCTATGCGCTAATTGCGTCGTCAATAATAAGGCGGGCAATAGTCACCGTTAAGCGCCGTGCATGTCATCAATTTACTTGCTCCTTCTCAGACCCTCGTTCCGGGAGTCCATCTGGAATTGTTTTTTTTTTCCCCCCCCCAAAGCGCTCGGTCCGATAACAGCGATCACGAGGAGTAACTCGGTCGCACGATAATGAGCCTTTTTCCATGCAAACGCCCGTCCGTCGACGACGGCGCGCTCGGCACGCGTGCGAGCGCAAACGCTCGTCGGCGACAACAGCCGGTGCCGTACGGGATGAAGGTCATCGGGCCGTGTCATTGAATAGAGAGATACCTGTCACTCTGTTGGAGGGACAGCCAATTTCCTTCCCCCTCAGGACAAAAAAAAATGCATCCAGACGGAACTGGCATGCCTCAAACTCATACGCTACGATATCATTTTTTTGCAGCCGAACGAGCTTCATCCGGAACGGGTTGAGCCTGGGGTACGCTCGGTAAACATTCGGAGCTGTTGTCGGTGCCAATGTGGCCCGGAATGGGCGGGGCTAGTGCTCGAATAATGTCGCGGGTCTTTCGGCTTGGCAGAGCAGCGTGTGGTTTATTTCGCGCATGTTTTTCCTTTCCCTTTAAGTCACTGTAACTTTGTACACAGTTTGGAAATTGACACCGCGGTTAAATATCGGAAACTCTGGAAAAAAATCGGGGGAAAAAAAATCGGAAAAAATTCGAAAGAAATTCCAAAAAAATCGGGGAAAAAGCACTTTATGATTTCAATGTATTTTATTGTACTTTAAATGTTTAAAAACAAACCGTTCGGAAAGGTATTGCCCCGTCGTCCAAAGTTAAACACAACTGAACTGTGCCTTATAAAAATGTACCGGATTAAAAGCAAAACCTGGACATCGTCGGCATTCTCTTGCTGCATTCTGGATGGACCGGCATTCAAAACTTTGCCCTCCGGAGATATTCCGAGCCACCGTTCCTCTCCTTTTATTCATCTCCCGATTGACTGACAGCTTCTATTCCGATCAAATATTGCGTAATTATGTATTCATCGAACAGGAGAGAAAAAAATGAAAAAAAATTTGCCTTGCGTGCATGCACCGAGGATTCGTGCCCGTCTCTAAATGCTTCTTAATTGCAGCATGCATCCTCTACTCTTGAGTAACAGCGGTGCGCCGAAACGCAATCGTCTCAGTGACGGGAGTCGAGTTTAAATCATTGATATTGCAAAAAAAAAAAAAAAAAAAGGAAAGTCGAAGGAGTCGTTTGTTTGCAGCCACACACCCGAACCCAAAGCGTCTTCTGTCGTCTCTCGTCATCACTCAGCGGCTCGTTTGGACAGATATAGGACAAGCTTGACGTGACAAATGAAGCCAGGCGGGGCCCTTCGGCTTCCTGTGGGCCAACAAAAGCGCCGGTGGATCGCAAACTAGCGAGAGGTTATTTTTCCGAAAAAAGGTTTCACACTGCTGTCGGGCTGGCAGCTGAGCTTCACCAGGACGTAATCGGCTTGGCAAGTGATCCAATTTTGTTCATTTTTTTTAAAGTTCATCAGGCAGCAGATGTCAACACGATTTTCCTAATGACGGCTCTGAGATGACATCGCGTTGCGTTTAGCGGCTAATATTGTCAGCGAGCGAGCCACGCCGATGAATAAGTTGTTGATGAATTAATGCCGCCGATGTCGTGGAAGAGGATTTTTGACCTCCTCCAAGGCTCCTACGACATTAAAAATAGTGCCTTGGCGCCAGCAGGCAGCAGAATACTTACTTATGCATAAATAGGCATACGAAACAAAGGAAGACCATTGCGAATAAGCTTCTCGGCAGAGGATAAAGAATATATGACTGCGAGTATTGTCTGCGCTGTCGTGTTGTGTTGTTTTGCGTTCAAATAGGATTTGTTTAAAGGTTTCATGCCCTAGTTTGCATTTTGCAAAAAAAAGGCATCAGTGGCACAAATGAACTTTATTTCACGAATGGAGTCGGTTTGCATATGACCTTTTAATATAAATGGGGTGCGCGGGGAGTCATTATTATGCTGATAAATGGCTAAATGACAGTTTGCTTCGCTTTGTCTGGCTCAAGCCTCAAACCAGAAGCGCTCCTCCGTCTGGTTCAATATTTAATGTGCCTAATCTGAAGTCACACTTAATATTTGTCAAACGCTAACGTTGGCTGACATCTCACTGCAAGCGGTTCGCACACTGATGTGGTATATTGAAAGCCGCCGACTTTCCTATTTCATCATTGGAAATTAGTTGAGTGATAGACCGGTCACGATTGCTGGAGCGAAAGCGATCGTTTTTTTAAATTTTATTATTATTATTATTATATATATATTTTTTAATGACTGCTTGCTTCAAGCCAGTTGAGTGAGAACAAAACATAATTTCACGTTGTTCCTTCACGAAACTCCACTTAGCTTCATGCTAACGCTCCATGCCCAAAAAAAAAAAAAAAAGCACCTGAGACGCGATAGTTGGACACAAACGGTGCAGCAACATATGTAGACAGACAATGTAACACTTGCAGGCATGTATTCTTTCACCCTTCAGGGGGATGGCGGTTACTACAGCGGACAGCCTATCATGTTACAGGGTGCATGAAAGGGATAATTTACTGGGTCGCTTAGTTACAGTCGCTGAAACGGCGTGGACGGATAAATTGCATTTCCATTTGATTGAACGGGGAAGGTTCCACCTGGGTTAATTTGGGGTATCGGAATCTTCGGCGTCGGCCGCAAAAAACAAGTCATCGTCTCTCATTTGTAAAGGTCACCTTGTTATCTCGCCGATGTTTTTGTTTTTGTTTCCACTCCACCGGGAACCCCGTGCAAAGTATTCACCAAAACGAACGCCCCTGATTGCGGCGTATTCATCAGCCCGTTAAATTGCCTCGCGCGAAAAGTGAAATTGTCTGTGTAATGCGATCAATTAAGAGATGCGCTTCGGGAAAGCGGCGCCATCCTGCTGTTGTTTTTCCCGGTATGGAGAATTTACTTGCGTGAATAATGTTTTATTTGATTTGAGGTTGCCGGGGGGTGGGGTGGCGGGGGCCATTAATGCCAGCGGACCGCCGGTGAGGCTCGCCGCAAGTGTCGCGCTTGCTGGACGGCTTCCAGAAAAGAACTCGAGGAACTATTTCTTTTCCTCGCTCAGAGGAACTGGCGGTTATGGAGCGCTTGATGCAAATGGGGGTCACCGGCGCCGGAGTCGGTGGGAGAGAGGAGAGTGTGTGTGTGTGTGTGTGTTTGTGTGACTCATCGATAATGATGCCGAAACAGAGACGGAGGCTCTGTTTGGCTCGTACAAAGAAGCCATGTGCTCCAAATTGAGTTTCTGGTAAATGTTCTCTCTCCAACTTTGGTGCTCTTATTCGTTTAAAAAAAAAAAAAATTAGAATTCAAAATGAATTCACTTATTTCACAAAGTACGACAAAGTGAAATGTACCTTAAATACAAAATGATTTGATTGTTGGGGCAGGTCAAAGATGAGGTAAATGTTTTTTTTAAATGTCAATGAAAAGGACCTTATTTGAATTAAAATTACGTACAATGAATCCGATGAGACAAGTCATTTAAATTGAAGGGGAAAAAAAAGTTGAGAGCATATGTAAAGTGTCTTGATTTTTTTCCTTTATTTTGTATAATAAAAAAAAGATACATCAGGTCATTTTTAGGTGAGGTGAAAAAAGATGTTGAGAAATCCATCCGCAAAATATTATTTTAATGACATGTTTCTGATGATTTCAAGTAAATATTTGTGTGTGTGTGTGTGTGTGTGTGTGTGTGTGTGTGTATATATATATATATATAT